TATATATATATATATATATATATATATATATATATATATATATATATATATATATATATATATATATATATTTTCAGAATTTTTTGCGGATCCATTTCCCCCTTCTGGTCTTGCCCTTGTAGAGATGCAATGGTATGGTTTAGGAGGGAATTGACAGATTTCAAGCAAAGTTGTATTAAAGGTCGGGGTAGCTGCCAGTCATTCAGTTCAAGAATCAAAGGACAGAAGCAGTATCTCTGAGAGACAAGCGGTCATCATCCAGGTCATCAGCGGAACAGAGGGATTGATAGTGGGGGATGGGGTGGTAAATATTTTTGGGTAAAAAAGTAGTTGGGAGAGGGAGGAACTAGTCTCTCAGCAGCAGGTATCTGGAGCCTGGTACAAGGCGAAGAGGTTTGTTCCTTTTTCTCAACAACCTGCACAGTTAATCCTCTGGAGGCCAGAGTAATCAATGCTGGCAGGCATTTTCTCATTCATCTTTCCTGACGTTTTCCTGATTCATTCTGTATAAGGGACGCTGGACCCGTTTTCCAGCAGGTGATGCTCCCCACCAATAGATGGAGCCTCTCCCCGGGTGCTAGTGATGCCTGCTTTTACCAGCAGCACTAGCACTGCAGGGGGGGTTAAAAAAAAAAGAAAAAAAAGAAAAAGAAGCTTGTTCTGGAAGACTTATCTGGCGGTCCCAAGGGGATAGAAGAGGCATCCCCGGCTCGTTTACTAATCTGTAAACAAGCTTGGTTATAGTCATGAGACAGTTAATGATCCTGGTTAGTTCCAAAGTGCAAATTCACAAGGAAAGACAAGGCCACCCAATTGCGAAAGAAATCAAAACACTTGGAAAGAGATAGAGACCAAAGGAGGAGGAGGAGGAGGAGGAGAAGAAGAAGAAGAAGAAGAAGAAGAAGAAGAAGAAGAAGAAGAAGAAGTACACTAGCAAGACCATGACAAATCCCCCTTCTCTCTCCACTTTCCTCCTCCTCCTCGTCTCCAACAATCTTATTCTTCTACCAAATAATAATAATAACAATAAGTGGTTGAACCAGAATCAATATCCAAAGTTCCCTCTTACTGCCAGCTTAACAAGAGGTCCACCATAGCCATGGCCTCCCTCTTCTTCCGCCTCACACAGGCCTAGGCTATGGTGGACTACTAAGGGCTCTGCCCTCCTGTGCAAACGACAACGCAAAGCAGCTATGGTCGCTGCTCTTCAGGCCGCCATGTCTGACCTTGCCTCGAAGCTTCCTTGGTGCTGCAAGCACCTAACAAGGTGATGAAGATGGTGTCCCCCAAAGGCAGGTAGGTACCTCGCCACTCTCCTCCTTCGCCCCCTTCTTCCTCCTCCTCAAGCTGGGCTGCTCGCCATAGCCAGGCAGAGTGCCCAACTCTCCTCCTTCCTCCCAGGCAGCGCTCGGAGAACCAGCGTCCGCTCAAGCAGCATGATGCCCAAACTTGCAAACCGCAAATGAGGTAGAGGCCAGCGCTACCTGGAGATATAGCGGCCTACTTGCCCCTTGGGCGGTGACTTCCAGGCCGCGCGGCCTTCAAGCAACCGGAACCTCCTCCCTTTCCGAGGGAAGCATAATTGCAGGCTCTGATATCGTCTGCACAGGCCTTAGACTCAGGCTGCTTGGGCTGGTACCCACCTACCTCTAGCCTACCGCTACTGGGCCTCTAAAAATGCCAACTTTTTGTCTTCTTCTGCTCGACCTTCAGTTCCCGACACATCTACCGCTACTTGAGTGGTACCGGCCTACCTGCTACTTGAGTGTTTTTTCCCCGCTTCCCTAAGCGTCGCAGGCCTACTCCCCGCTACTTGAGTGTTTTCCCCGCTGCAACCCTCAAAGTCATGGCCGCAGGTACATGCCGGCCCCCGCGGGCCTCATAACACACAAGTGCCCTGTCGGGCCACACACACACTCAGGCAGACATGCACTCAGACAGGCACATGGACCAGCAAGCATGCACACACACACAGACTTAGAAAACTCAGCACAATGCGGGAATCTCAGCAAGGCATACATTCCAGCGGCAAAACCCAGAAATCGGCAGTGTTCTCAGTCTGTGTTTTGGCGGGTCATTGTTCTCAGTCTGTGTTTTGGCGGGTCATTACAGGACGCTGGATCCCGTTTCCAGCAGGTGATGCTCCCCACCTATAGACTGGAGCCGCCAACAAAATTTGTTAGGGGCACATGCTTTTTTTTTTTTTTTTTTTTTTTTTTTTTAAGCCCTTGGCATTTATGTCCCTTCTTTGTAGCCAAAGAAGAAACACAAAAAAACACCTCTTTGGCATCCCAAACCTTGCACTTATGGGCCTCGCTGCACTACTCGCCGAATGTGCGAAATGAGAATGCATCTGCCGCTAGAACATGGGAAGATGCACCGCCATATCTTTAGTATTTTGTGCATGCGAAGAGTAGTGGATCAAGAGCCTATGTTCCTTGTAACCAAAGAAAATAACAAAAGAAAACACCTCTTTGGTATCCCAGTTCACAACATCAGTCAAATTTTTTTATTTTTTATTTCTAATCAATTATATTTTCCACTTGCCCCTCCAACCACCATCGAGCTCTAACTGAAAATTAGTTACTTTATTCATCTCATTCCACTGGGATTCGAACTCACGTCTACTTATCAACAGGCATGTGGGTGTACCATTCAGCTACACCAGCTTGGCTCTGACTGAAAATAGCCACGTGAGAATCATGACACGACTTGGAATGTTAGTGTTGATTTTTGGACGCTGGACCTGGTTTCCAGCAGGTGCTGCTCCCCACCAATAGATGGAGGCTTCACTGAAGGTCCACTTGAGAAGGCTGCTCTTATCACCTCCTCAAGTGCGTCCTTCCAATGAAGTTTCTTAAAAAAAAAAAGAATGCTGAGCCCTTGGGAGCTAAAAAAATTGACTTTTTGGGGCAAATAAGTCGGTTTTAATTTTGTTCAAAACATAAAAAATGATATTAAAATCATGGGGCAAGTACGTTTGTGTCACAAACGAAGTTCAAAAGGGCAAAAAAATCAATAATGGGCAACAAAAAAATGGCCGTAGTTCGAAAAGGCAGTCATAACATCAGAAGGCGGTAACATCACGCCCCGAGTTTGAAA